AAGCAGGGTCACCTACAGCAGGCTGCACAGGACCTTGTCCAGGCGGGGCTGGAATATCTCCAGAGAAGGAGACTCCACAGCCTCCCTGGGCAGCCTGGGCCAGGGCTCCGTCACCCTCAGAGGGAAGAAGTTCTTCCTCGGGTTCAGCTGGAGCTTCCTCTGCTTCAGTTTGTGCCCGTTGCCCCTTGTCCTGTCGCTGGGCACCACTGCAAAGAGTCTGGCCCCGGCCTCCTGACCCCCACCCTGCAGATATTTAGAGGCATTTCCAAGGTCCCCTCGCAGCCTTCTCTTCTCCAGGCTGAACAAGCCCAGCTCCCTCAGCCTCTCCTCCTAGGAGAGATGCTCCAATCCCCTCCTCATCCTCGTAGCCCTGCGCTGGGCTCTCTCCAGTAGCTCCTCATCTTTCTTGAACTGGGGAGCCCAATCCAGTGCTTCTGAACTGGCAGAGGAGCTTGTGGAAACGTGCTGCAGCGAGAATGTTCTGGTGCTGCCTTTTGTGCTGTGAATTATCACCACCTCTTGCTAGAAATTGCTCTCGATTCAGCTCCTGCCGTGTTTTGTGCTGCGTTAAATAACTCCCAGACTAAACACGCCGTAACTAACCTTTTGTGAACACGAGCCTGTTGCTCTAACTCGGTTACTACCTGTGAGTAAAAGCTCACTTAACCTCCTCCTTTTTTGTATTTTGAAAAAGTCCGAGTCTTTTTAGTTTAAAGCAGAAACAATTTAATTAGCGCAAGTCTCGTCTGATAAAATTTAACTGGAGGTTGGACGTCCTTCGTCAGAAGGATCGCTGCTCGGGCCGGGCTTTCGGCAGACGAGGCTGGAGCCAGGCCAGGCCGATGGAAGCAGTCCTCGGGCAGGCAGCCGCCCGCCCGCTGATGCCGACCCGCAGCGTACACGGAGGAGCGATCCTCCCCGTAGTGCTCACGCTCTCGCACTAACACTGTCTGTGCAGCCTCTTGTTTTCGTTCACTTTCTTCCTCACTCTCCTCCTCAGTTGCTTTCACACCTAACGCTGAAGTCGGATTGGGTTTAACACAACTCCTTGTTTGTCCGCCGTGTTCGAGCAGCCATTCCAGCCTGCCGTATGACAACTCTAACCAGTCCTCTCCCTTGTGTTGTTTTCCATTCTGTAACATTCCAGGTCCAGATAGTCTCCAAAAAAGCGAACTACAGCCATGTTCAGTCCAAGTGTGGTTCCAAGGACAATATTAAGCATGTCCCTGGAGGTGGGAATGTAAGTATGGGCTCTGGGCCAGCTGTCTTTTCTACTAACTCCTTCTCTCGTGCTGTGTTTTTATCCATCAGCCTTACGGGTGCCGTGTTTCGGGCAGGAAGGTGTGGTAGAATTTCAGGGCTTCTGGAAATAATACAGGCTAGAGAAGATTTTGTTTCTTCCTCCCCCGTGGGATGTGTTTCAGTAGCACTACAAATACTCCTGCCCTGTTTCTCGCGTGGTTCGCGTGGTTTTCGCCACCGAACGTGGGATGTGCACGTCGTCGACCCCAGGAGTTGGCTCGCCGTGGGTTCCCTCTGCAGTTGGTGGAGGTCGACCCTAGGAGTTAGCTCAACATGGGTTCCCTCTGCAGTCGGTGGAGGCCCCTCACCAGGCCTCGGGCCTGTTTCAGATGTCGAATTGTCTTTTTTGTTTGGTTAGACAGCACAAATTGTGGCCTGGAAGCATCTGTTGCTCTTCACTGGTTCACAGAGCAAGCCCGAGTCACATTCATTTCACTTCTTCTTTCACGAGAAGGGAGGCTGTGAGAAAGGAGGACAAAAAGACTCTTTGAGCGGTGATTAATTTCCAAATTTAAAGGCTGCTGGTGTCTTGGGCAGCAGAGTTGAGCTTGTTAAATTAGAAGGCTGATCTTGTAACGTCTGCGTGCTCGCTGCGGAGTGTTGTATGCTGGCAGCGTCTGGTAAAATACCCCAAGGTAACTCTCTAGATACTAAAGCTTTGGAAGACGTGGCTGCGGTCTGGTGGGCTTCTCTCCTTAAGGGCAGATCTGTGCTACCATAACAGATCACAGCAGCACAGAATGTTGGGGGTGGAAGGGACCTCTGGGGGTCACCCAGCCCAACCCCCTGCCGAAGCAGGGTCACCCACAGCAGGCTGCAGAGGACCTTGTCCAGGCAGGGCTGGAATATCTTCAGAGAAGGAGACTCCACAACCTCCCTGGGCAGCCTGGGCCAGGGCTCCGTCACCCTCAGAGGGAAGAAGTTCTTCCTCGGGTTCAGCTGGAGCTTCCTCTGCTTCAGTTTGTGCCCGTTGCCCCTTGTCCTGTCGCTGGGCACCACTGAACAGAGTCTGGCCCCATCCTCCTGACCCCCACCCTGCAGATATTTAGAGGCATTTATAAGGTCCCCTCGCAGCCTTCTCTTCTCCAGGCTGAACAAGCCCAAGGAGTAGTTTGCAGAACGACAAAGACAGGATGGTTTCAAAAAGACGCTGAAGTCCTGAAGCTCAAGGGGGTTTGTCAACAGGTGTTTCAATAGGCCGGGTTGCTGAGCAGCAGTGTCCAGCTACCACATCTGGTGGAGCTTTCTCTGTGCCTGGCATCCGTGAAACTCCCTGCGTCCTTGCTTTGGGCAGTGTTCGAGGTGCAAACACTCCATTTCTGGGACCAGACTTACTCTTGCTGTGCAGGCAGTGGGTCCTGCTAATAGAATCATAGAATCACAGAATCACAGAATAGTAGGGGTTGGAAGGGACCTCTGTGGGTCATCTAGTCCAGCCCTCCTGCCGAAGCAGGGTCACCCACAGCAG